GGTGAGAAGATAAGTTCGATTTTGGTCTAGCTAATTAAGAGATGCCTGAGGAAATCAGATAGTCTGTCTCACGGGTAGTTAGAAACGGAGCTTAGAGGCTCCGAGGACAGGTCTGAGCTAGAGATAACACTTTAGGAGTAATCAATATATGTAACTCAGGGCATAGGACCTGTACTCCGATAGACCTACATTTAAATCTTAGTTCAGACACTATTTGTTTCCCTATTTGTAAAATGGGATGATACCTGGCCCAGAATCTTTGTAAGGATTCAGTGAGAAACTAGAAAGCACTTAGCATGTGGTCTGAGTTCATCAAGTGACAACAAAATTATCATTAGCTGTTATTATCAGATTACAATAAATATTTACTTCCAAATTTCAGTATAATAAAAAACATTTTTAATGGAATTCACTTAACTGATATCTGAAATGCATCTGAGTGGAAGATCTGTAAGGTATAAGTTGGTGTCCATATGGCAGCATGGTGCATGCACTATATCACCTGGCTAGCAAGGCCTACGTGTGCACTAGGAATAGAAGGTATAAGCCAATGTCAGGGGTTGACTTGTAGGCAAATTATCGCCCGGTAGCAACCCATGTTCAACTATTCCCTACCCTCCTAAAAATAAGCATTTTAGGGAAAACATTATCTTCTTTTTTCATATTATATTTCTTAAACAATATTAGAATTCTTATAGTTGATTATAGATCAACAGCTAAATACTTGTTCTTTTAAATCAATTTTCTATAATCCTTTCTAAACTGCCGGCCTCTAGTTTGGTTCATTATTTAATTTGTACATTGTTATAAATTTAGTTATCTGTGTTATAAAATGCCACAATATAATCAAAATCTGGGACCAGAGTATATTGATCCTATAGGAAAGATAATTGCTTCTACTCAGTGTTAGGTTTTTATGCTGTTTTAGTGGGGTCTTTTTAGAACAGATGGGAACAGCTCAAAGAAAGCAACAAAATAACCAGATTAAGAAGTCCAATATTAAAAATCAAGGAATCACAAAGCCACCAAATTGAGCTTAGTCCATTTAAAGAATGCTTGACTAGTATTTCCTTTTTTTGATGTTCTTAAAGGTACCATCATAAAAATTTTTTTAAATCAGCTTTTAGTAGCATTTTTGAAATGATTATATATTATAAATTATATACATCACTGCAGTAATTCTTCCCATCCTTTTTTTTTTACTATGGAAAATTTTTATTTATTATTTCTCATGTATTGTGCCTAAACTGAATTAGCAATAGGCAGTAAGGACAATTTTGTACAATTATGTTTTGTATATTTGAATCTTTTTTTAAAATATATTTTATTGATTATACTATTACAGTTGTTCCACTTTCCCCCCTTCTACCCCTCTACCCTGCATATCTTTTTAAAAAAATTTTATTTAGTTATTTTTCAAGTAGTTTTTTGTCTGTTTCTCCCATCCCAGCTCCCCTCCCCGCCCCGTGCTCCCCACCTCCCTCCCATTTCCACCCCCCTTAGTTCTCATCCCTGTGTCCTTCCTATTTGTTCCTCCAAATCCCTCCCCTTTTTTCCCCTTAAATTCCCTTCCCTCTCCCCTCTGGTCACTGTCCCCCTGTTCTCTATTTCAGTGTCTTTGTTTTTATTCTGCTTGCTTGTTTGTTTTGTTGTTTAGCTTCCTGTTAAAGGTGAGATCATATGGTATTTGTCTTTCACCACCTGGCTTATTTGGCTTAGCATAATGCTTTCCAGTTCCATCCATGTTGTTGCAAAGGGTAGTAGCTCCTTCTTTCTCTCTGCTGCATAGAATTCCATTGTGTATATGTACCACAATTTTTGGATCCATTCATTTACTGACGGGCACCTAGGTTACTTCCAGCTCTTGGCTATTGTAAATTGTGCTGCTATGAACATTGGGGTGCATAGGTTCTTTTGGATTTGTATTTTAGGGTTCTTAGGATATAGTTCCAGCAATGGAATTGCTGGGTCAAAAGGCAGGTCGATTTTTATTTTTCTGAGAAAATTCCATAATGTTTTCCATAATGGTTGTACCAGTCTGCAATCCCACCAACAGTGAACTAAGGACCCCTTTTCCCCACAACCTCTCCAACATTTGTTGTTTGTTGCTTTGTTTATGATAGCCATCCTGACTGGTGTAAAGTGGTATCTCATTGTGGTTTTAATTTGCATCTCTCTGATAGCTAACAGATATTGAGCATCTCTTCATGTGTCTCTGGATGTTCTGTATGTCCTCCTTGGAGAAGTGTCTGTCTTCCCATTCTTATATGCCTGTATCCCTTTGAAGTATGACTATGTTGCTCTTTTTATGAAGAAAGGGAACCTGTTTCCCCCAATTCTTGAATCTGTGCTGGTCTTTTGACTTAAAGAAAATGTGGTGGAAGTGATATTGTTTGTGTAACTCTGTCAGTGCAAATCACTGCTCTGTAGAACTGAGAGCCCATAACATGATTTTAAGGCACAAATTCTAGGGTGGTTTATTATGTAGCAATAATGTTTGTATGTTAGAATTCTCTTGCCTTGAAGATGATAGAATAATTTTAACCGTAAACAGGTCTTAGGTTAATCATAGGGATGTACTTCCAGACAAATGGATCAAAATCTTTTTCAAAGCTGAAATGATGTCACCTAGGTTGCTGCAGTGAACAATGAAAAGGGAAGACATGATTTTTTTCTGGGATGAGTTGTGCTCAGTGTTTCCACAGGTGGGGCAATATTGTAGACAATGCCCAAAGTCTCTTTCAACTCTAGAGCCCTGTGAAATTCCAATGACATTCTTATAATTTTAGCAACTTCATTTTTACTTCATGAACTTATACACAGCATTTTAATACCTTTCACAACCAATACTATCTACTGGCTCATCTTTTATACAATGTGATTAAAAACAGCTATAGCATAGTGTAGACACCACAGTACATGCACAATGGCTAAGGTCATGAGTTCCAGAGCCATACTACTGGGGTTCAAGTGTGTGATCAGCTTCGTATTGGATGTAACCTCGATGAGTTAGCTTTGTTGTTACCCCACCTGTAAAATGTAAGGATTGAGTTAATATTTAAGCTTAAAACATATTACTCAATACTTGTCAAATAGTGGTATGTTATAGGAGAATAATCTAGATTCTAGAACTGGATCTTGTTACTGTGTGACCTTTGGCAAATCATTTAATCTTTCTGGGTTTGTTCTCTCATCTATAAAGTAAGATTTGCTAGATAATTTCCATGGTTTCTTTTCCATCTTTAAAATTCTATGACCTCACATTTAATATTTGTTTTACCATATGCATACTCCAATCTTGTCTAAATTAATTTTCAGGTTATTGAAAACATATTCTATTAGCAAGCAATTTAGAGGACCCTCTAGTCAGGACCACTTCGAAAGTAAAAACAATACTGCATTTTCTCAGGAAACTAAACATTTTTACTCATATCTGGTCAGCAGACATTGATACGATATCTGAAGCAATGCCTTTTCAGGTTTATGGAAAGTTAGACTGTACATTAAATTTGCAATAAAGATGCTTATGAAAGTAGGAAAAACCCTCCATAAATGAAGAAAATAGTTCATTTCAAATTTTATCATAGATCTCCAATGTTAACTAAATACCACCTATAATTAATTTCATTATCACATGAAACATTTTATTTTCATTTCTTTTGCTTAAGCATATAGCATAATGCTAAGTACATATTGTATACAATTATAGAAAATGTGATTATTGGCTGCATAACAAACATCTTCATATGGACGTTCCAAAATTTATTTTACATTGATTTATAAACTGTAGCATTTCATTACAGTTTAGTTTGATGTGTGATGCTTCTTCTTGACAATGGAACAGAAAAAAATAATCAAACATTAGCTATGTGACCGGTTAGTGTGTGTGGGTAGAATGCACAATATGTGGAATTCCTTGTAAAACATTAATTTTCCCTATACTTCTCCTGTCATTCCATAATCAAGATGTTACGATCACCAAGACGTGTGCAAATACTCCACTCAATACTTTTACAACAAATTTATCAATTACTGGGCCTACTACAAACTTTCCTTTGAATTGTGACAATGGATTTTAGTCCCTTGTTTACTCTTCCGAATGTACACGGAGCCTATCTACTCAACTTTGCTTTTCTAGGACCCTGAAAACTGCAAAGGTTTGTAGTGGATCTTAGTGGTGGGGGATAAACAAAGCGAATGAACTCTTTCTCAAAATTTCCTCACACACATATTTGCTTCTTGAAGATTTCTATTCCAACAGTTGGGTAGAAGGTAGAGGAGGTTGCTTGCTGAACTTGACAGACCACAAGAGATCTCAGATCTTCGGGGATTTTCTAAGCATGATGCCGGCGCCGAAGAGGTGGGAAGAATGCGTACAGCACACGTGACCCAACTTCACTTTCAGGTTCCAAAACGAAGCGCTGCTAGAATCAATACCGATCTTCCACCATTAAATTGTTTTCCTCCAAAGAAGGACCAGATGAAAACCCCTGAGAGGCACACTATGCAAATTACTGGGGGAAAAAGATCGACGTTTACCATTTATAAACGCGCCGACTTCCTTTTCGGAATCAGCACCTCTTCACGGCGCACACGTTTGCTAAGCCTCTCCCAACAGTTCTTTCCCGATCCTTCCCAACACTCCCTCAGTTTCAGTTCCACTCAAAGGAGAAAAGCCATAGCAACAGTTTGGTTGCCGAGCAGCCCGTCTCAGGGGCGCGAAAGCCGCGCCGGGGTCGCAGTCCTCTCCGTGCGCGCAACACAGGGCTTCTGCTCTCCAACTACCCGCGGGAGTAAGCGCAAGCAAAGCGCAGATCAGCGTCCCCCGCCGCGTTTCGGCTCCAGGAACACCCAACCCGGGGACGCGGGTCCCTCCCCCGCCCGGTCACCGCACTTCGCCTCCCCACAGGCGGGGGCGCCGGGCCGGGCGCATGCGCGCGGCGCTCCCGGGCGTGCCGGCCACACTACCCCCCACCCACTCGGAGAGCTTGTCACTTCCTGCCCTCGCCCCATCTCCGTCCGGGGTCAGTCAGTCGCTCACTGTCGCAGCCGGAGAGTCTCTGCTTCCCCCTTCTTACCCGCTCCGTGGCGGCAGCTCAGGCTCTTCGGGGAGGGGGAGACGGAGAAAGAGAGAGACGGACTTAATAAAGTTTCCTGAAACAGCAACTACTACCAAAAAAGGCCCAAGGTGGGGGGAGACTCCCATTCTTCCCCGCCCCTTTCCAAAAGCCTGAGGGACCGTTGCAGGTGGAGAGGTGCCGGGGGAGCCGGGCTTCGGCGGCAGCCGTTGCCCCGGTGAGGAGCTACTGAGGTCCTGCCCGCTCCGGTTCCAGCTCCTTTGGTGGCGGCGGCGGCTGCTGCGGGGCGGTTCCTCCTGTCAACTGTCTGCGCCCGAGCGCCGCCCGCCCTCCAGCTCCACAGCGCGGAGGGACGCCGTGAGCCTCCGCCACCGTCGCCTCGGGCCGCGGAGGGACGTGGTGAGCTGTGGCGCTTCCGCGTCGGCGCCGGTGGGGACTCTTTGGGAGCGCGTCGGCCCGAACCCCAGTTCCCTTCGCGTGGTCCGCGGAGGCCGCTTCAGGTGGGGTCCGAAGCCGCCTCCCGCTCCAGGCTGTCCCCGAGGCCGCCCGGCCTTCCTTCCGCCAGCCCGCCGGCCCGCCCTCGGAGTTAAGTAAGTTGGGCGCACTTGGTTGTGGGGACCGGGGTTGCGCCTAGGAGACCCCAACACACGTGCGAGGTGGGAGACCGTGGCCCGGCCGTGGGGAAGCCGCTGCTGAGCCACCCAAGCCGCCGGGCCCCTCGCCCCGTCGCCCCTCGGGCCGGGGCGCAGACCGTGCCACCGCGCTCCGCGCGCGCTCGCCCGGGACGGCGAGGCCGCCGCCCGCGCAGCCGGCCAGGCCTTCGTCCTGCGCTGCGCTGCGCGCCGGAGTCTGCGTTTCCGGGTAGGACGGGGAACCTGTGCGGGAGTTCGGGCTGGAGAAGCCCTCGTGCGTTTTCCTTTTTCCAGTTCCAGAAGGAGCGAGTCCGTGGAGGGACAGCGAGGGCGGGTGAAGGGGACATATCTGGAAAATGTCCCCCCAGGAAGTTCAGGGTGAGTGACTGGTTTGTGCTTCTTTCAACAGCCAAGCCGCAATGAAGAGCTACTTACAGTGAAAGGAAAGTAGGTCGCGCCCACTGAAAATGCCTTTAAGGGACAAATACTGTCAGACTGACCACCATCATCACGGATGCTGTGAACCAGGTATCCCTCTTTTTTCTCCAGTTACGTTGTCCTCCGTCATTGCCACTCTGCCCTCCTTCCAGTTTTCTTTTCCTGCTGTTCCAGAAGTCATTGCTAAGTAAGCAGGATATGATTTTCCTTAGCATAAAACTGGTTATGAAGCTAAATGCTTGTACAAACAAGAGATCTCTGCTTTTTGAACCCTTAAAAAAAGTACTACGTGTCACCTTAAATCTTTTCCGCAAGATCAGTTATCCAGTCCCCTTTCCTTCTGTTTCAAGGCAGCTTGCAGTGAGTATGCCCCATGCTCTGTAAATGTTTAAAACTGAAGAAGGGGAAAAATAGTAGAATAGTAGCATGAACCTTCATGAAACTTGTTTTATTTAAACTTGAAAGAATTAAGTTTCTTATGCCTTTTTAAAGTCAGAAAATAGCACTTAAAGCCTAAAAATTAATTTAGTTTGGGCTAAAAAAGTTGGTTGAATTCAAATTGTTGGGATATGTAAGTATTTCCAAGATATTTTATTTAATCGAACTTTTAAAAGTTGAATTTATGAAGTGAAAAAGTTACTTTTTGTAGTCTCAGAGAATACTTAGAAAACTTTAATTTGATAAATGGGATATGTAAACTGTTGATAGTTTTTCTGCTTTGAAGCTTGATGTGCTTTTTCACAAATTGGTGCAACTTAGAAGGGAATCATTGGATACACACTATCTCTAAACCAAATAAAGTCTAATCTATTCTAGTTAAAAGCAGGTGTTTATCATTATTTTTGACCTAAGAGTTATTAGGACTTTGTATACTTTTGCTTGCTTTTTGTTGGAGTGTTTTAACTGCTCTAATGTACTCAGTTTTACCACAGTAGTGTTTAGAATGCTGTTTTGCTTAGTGGGAAAAATTTGCAGTGGTAAAAGGGAAGAACTTCCATTTTCAGAAAACTTTGGTGTATGTGAGAATAAAATTTCTACAATGAGCCTATCACCACCGATATGCTAAAAATCAGTAATAACTCACCTCTGCTAATAAAACAGGTCATCTCATGATGGGATCCAGTTTCTATTCACCTGTCTGTTTACCTATCTGGCTTTCAACACCCTCTTAACAGTGCATATTTTGTGTATTTGAAATGAAGATATACCACTTATGTTTTAGCAAATGTTGGGCGGAGTTTGCTACTTTTGAAGTAGAAGGCTGTCAATGCCTTTACAATTTTTATTTATTAATTTTAAAGGGGGGGGTGAGCGAGACAGACACACATATTGATTTGTTCCACTCATTTATGCATTCATTGGTTGCCTCTTGTGTGTGCCCCAACCTGTGGCCTTGGCATATGGGAATGATGCTCCAACCAACTGAGCTACCCCACCAGGGCTATGAATGCCGCCCTTTATACTTGTGTTTCTCATGCACTTTTTTATTCCAGGGTTTTTTGTTTTTGTTTTTTTAAGAATACTTTAATTCAGGTTGAACTAATTAATGAAATCATCTTACTCAGGAAGAAGTTTATTGATTCATTTCTTTGACAGGTTATTGTTGAGTACCTGTTAGGTGCTAGGCAGTGGAAATATAAGTGGTGAACAAAACAGATGTCATTTCCTTGTACAACTTTTGAGTGGGAAGAGATAAACATAAATAAAACAAGATAATTTGTGACCAAATCTTATTTAGTGTATTCTGGCAATTAAAGTTTTCTAGAGACTTTAATGTGTTCTTAAAGATGCTTCCAGAGTTGAACTTTTAAATACGTATTGGAACTTTTTTTGATTATTTTTTTCTCCACAATTAACAAAAAATTAGATAAGTCGAATTAATTAAAAAATTTCAGCTTTCTTTTACTCTAAGCTTTTCATGCAGTTTATTTTGCAGATTATCAGATTAATTGGTATTTCTTTGCTTTGTTTGTTATAATTAAAATACTTTCTGAGCATTTAGTTCAGCGGAAAGCTAGAAGTTTGTTAACTTACAGGGTAGTTAATTGTCATTATTTCAGAGGAAGGTAGGTGCTGAGTGTGAGGATGTTTCCAGGATTGAGAGGAATATATTATAATAGAAGATGACATGATGTTTGAAAAATTCTTTTTTTTTTCTTTTTGAAAAATTCTTTTTTTTTTCTTTTTGAAAAATTCTTTAAATGGGCTCTCCTGAGAGGTCTGTCCTGGTTTGGATTATGAATAATGGATAAGTTCCTTAGATGAGAGCAGTGTATTTTTGAGCAGGCCTTGATAGGATGGGTCAGTTTGTAGTGAAGGGTAGTGTTATAAGCCTCTTAGTGTATGTACTTTTTTAGCTACGTTTTTTAAGTGATTGTACTTAACTATTTTTAGAGAGAGGGGGAGGGAGGGAGAAAGAGAGGGAGAGCAACATTGATGGGTTGCCTCACACATGCCTGAACTGGGGCTTGAACCTGCGATATAGGTATGTGCCCTGACTGGGAATCTAATCAGTGACCCTTCACTTTTCTGGGACAACACCCAACCAACTGAGCCACACTGGTCAGGGTTGAAGTTATGTTTTAAAAATGTTATTTGATATAGAAATTTTCAGCCTTTCAAAAGTACATAGAATGGTATAAGGAACCTGATAAAACCATTTCATAACTCCCATCAGTTATCAAAACATGGAGAGTCTCTTTTCATGTCTGTTCTCCCCTTCCCATGATTTTCTTCTACACCCTCCAACTGCCCCATCATGCTTTTATTTGAGAGCATCTTCCAGATCTCATAAATAGAAGGATCTTTTAAGGGGCTTGTCTTAAGGTATATGAAAGATTCTTACAAAAGCAGGTGTTTTATTCTTGAAGTGTGTTCCTGGAAGTATGTAAAGCAAGATGTTAACTTCTTAGGGTTTGGGTTTTTGGTTGGAGGGAGATGCCTCCCCCTGCCTAAATGGTTATATAACCTGATCTTGGGGAGGGGATGATAGGATGGATGATAGGAGAGTTTATGAAGTATTAATACATAAAACTTTTTAGTGTTGAAAGTATGTTTTCAAATAAAGAAACATTAGTTTCTTAAGTGGGAACTACAAAGATATATATACCAAGTGGATGTGTCCTTACATAAATAAGGTAATCTTAGGGTTATTTGGAATGGTATCTCAGGAGGTATATATGTTCTGGTGTTGAAAGAGTGTTTGAAGATAATGGGTAACAAAATTTAGCTTTATCCTTAAAATCAGATGTTGTCATAATGAAGTGGAAGTTGATATTTATTGAAAGCTTTCTGGAGCATGTACCTAAATGAGGAAAGGGGACTGTAAGAAGTTGCTGTTTTTTCCTTCATCTCCCTCCCTATTCATTACTGTTTTTTCATGCTTCCCTGCTAGAATTCTTGCCACTTAAAAGAGACAGACTTGGAAGCTTTTAGTTATTTACCATTGTACAACTTCCACTTTCTCTTTTGTAGTTGCTACTATTTATTATAAACAGTTATCAGTAATAAAGTACAAATGCTGGAAAGAGATCCATCCAATCTATATAAATGGTATCACCAGTCTGTTTATGAGCTTCTGTAATTGTTTCTCTAAGGTGTTCAATTCTACTTCTCTTAGATTTTGGAAAAGATTTCAGTTTTTGGTGTCAGACAAGCAATTGATTTACACATGATGCTGATGCTGGTGGTGATGATGATGGTGGTTGTAGAAAATTTATTGAGCAGTTAGTATATTCCAGGCTCTGTTTTTAACCAGTTTTCCTGTTAGCTAATTTAATCCTCACATAGTCCTGTGATTCAGCTACTTTTATTATCCTCATTTTAGAGATAGAAAAGAAAGATCAGAGATTTTAATTTTTTACTTGTTTTATCTAGTAAGTGGCAGAAGGAGAATTTCAGTACAGTCCGGTTCTGAAGTCTTAATCACCTCAGTGCCAGTGTTAGCTCTTCTTAAAATGAGTTGTATTTGTGTGTATATTCTGAATTCATTTAAAATGCCCCTAAAGTGTCTCTTAAGATTAGGAAAATTTTGCTTAATGAAATGACTTGGTCCTGAGACACAGGTCCTCCTATTTGTGTGGCCACAAACCTAAAAGAGAATCTAAGGCTGTGTCAATATACATAGTATAGCAGACTTTAGCCCCCTTGTTAGCTAAATGCTGTCCAGGCCCAGGTCCTGAAGCAGTAGCAGCACATATTACTGAAATAACCCTCCCTGTTTCCCCACATTGAGCAGATTGGGTGAAGATGGTAATAGTTCAATAAAACATAACATTGAAAAAAAGAGGTAATTAAAGTGGGCAGTTTTTCTCCAACATAACCATCTCTTTTTATTTGATTTCTGATGGAAAGTTCAGGTTCCCATTTCAGTTACCTTGTTTCATATTACCATAATCTAATTTACTGCATACTTACACAGCTAATCTGAAAATTTTGGAAAGCAGGATGATCTAACCTCTGTAAATGAAAATAAAACATTCTATTTAAAAAATGGAAATATACATATTTTTAAAGATTTTATTTATTTACTTTTAGAGAGAAGGGGAGGGAGGGAGAAAGAGAGAGAGAAACATCAGGTGTGTCAGAGATACACCAGTTGGTTGCCTCTTGCATGTCCCCAATTGGGGACCTGGCCTGCAACCCAGGTATGGGCCCTGGGAATCGAACTGGTAACTTTTGGTTTGCAGGCCACCACTTATTCCACTGAGCCACACTAACCAGGGCAAATGGAAATATTTTTACTTATAATGAAAATGTATACTTTCTCAAATGCACACTTCTAAAAGCCCAGGTTCTGAAGTACTGGTGAACTGTGAGGCAGAAAGTAAAAATTGCCCCCATAAATACCACCTTAATAGAACTTTTGTTAAGTTTTGTTTGTAACCCAGAAGACTTTTTGTGTTTATACATACACTTACTTTATACATTAAATTTATTTCTTTGTGGATCTTTTGAAATATATATTAATATAAATGAGATCATATTCTATAACCTGTTTTTGTTGCTTAACAATCTATTGATGTCCTTTGTTGTCAGTACACATAGATCTAGCTCATGCTTTCTAACAGCCATCTGAGATTCCGCTGTACAAATGGTTAATAGTTTATTTATTTTTGTTCCTTTTGAGACTCTTAAATTGTTGGAAATTTTTCTCAATTATTTACAGTGCTGCAGTGAACACTCTTGTGCATCTGTCCTTCCTTGTTCACTCAACCAAGTTCTTTCGGCAGTGGTTTTTAGGTTTTGCTTTCCCAATTGCCCAGAGAGCTGTATTAGATTGTCCAGAGGGGAGGTTTTGGAATGGCTTATGAAGTGCAGTTAGGCCATCATTGCCCTAGAATTTTGGTTAAATATAGTGGTCCCTCTTCAAGGGGAATAAAAAGGCAACCATGATGAATATTTATTAAATAATACCAGGATAGGAAGATCTTTGCATTTAAACTAATTAGCTTTAAGTAGCATTATTTTAGCCTTGAATTGAGACTAATTTGATTTTTATCCTTTTTATTGAATTGACAGTTGTTTTGGTTATTTTTTTCTTATTTTATTTTGCCTTACAAAGATGATGGTGAAATATATATAAGTGTGATTGTCATTTACATGATTGTAGCAACTATTGTTTTACTTCAGTAGTAAATGATTTAAATAAATAACCCTTTTTTTGTGGGGATTGGGGTGGGTGTTTGTCTTTCATGTAGTTTATATCCTGGAACCTGGAGATGCTCCTTTGTTACAGCAACCACTACAGACATCCAAATCTGGTATTCAACAAATAATTGAGTGCTTTCGATCAGGTATGAATGTTTTAGGATGTATTTTTTATTCTTCACATAGTAGTTAAAAACTACCTAGAAATCCTTAGAAGTAATCTAAAAAAAATGAAAATGTATACACTGTTTCAGTAGAATATTTTTAATGTCATATTTTTAAAAAGTGAATGAATCAGTAGTGATGTAATCTAGAGATTCTTTTTCCATACTATATATTATATATTGATTTAAAAATAAACTTGTTTAAAGAAATGTATTAAGTGGTATATATCTATAGATAAAGTACCTCTTCCTCTGAAAGATTCATTGTTATTTTTGACATGTTCTTTATAAACTTTCATAGGGCAGTAGTATATTATACGGGGTCTTTATAAGTTTTGAAAGAGTGAATTATTTACTCAGACTGTCTAAGATGTCACTTGTTCTAGGTTAATTACTTTATTATTTATGTAACTCACCTTCTTCTGCCTAACTCTAGAGTTTATGGAGTTTGAATATCCATAATAGAGCATAAGATAGAAAAAAAGACTTACTGCAGCCTGATATTTTCAGATACATTTGTTTAGTTTTTCTTTCCATTAGATTATTATTATAATTAGGTATATAAGTGTATTTGTGCTGTTGTAATCCAGTGCTTTAAAGTAGATGTTGCTTACTACATGTAAGTTAGTGAGAACTGTTAGAACTCCTTCCGAATTATCAGTAAGATCTTAAGTTACTGTGACTCTTAAGATCCACTTGTCCATCTCAAGTGGATTCAGCTTCTCTGACATTGAAAACTATTGAGACAAATGGGAACAAGCAAACACACATGACAGATGGGTATCTAACTGATAGTCATTTAAAGGGTTAGAATATCTTTTGTTATTTTATTTATCTTAATGAAATGATTAAGATATATTTGGAAAAAAGTATATATTTGGTTTAGTTTAGGATGCCAAGAAATAAATTATTTCTTAACCTTAATAAAAAGGATTTTGTTTTTGACTCTCCAAGATCATTTCTTCAACTTTCCATCTGTAGTCCTCATGGCATTGCTTTTATGTCTATTTAATTAAGTGTTGAGTATATACTGTATGCCTATGCTTAGATTGTTTGGTGGTATAACCTGTTTAAGGGTGTTTTTTTACTTATGATAATCGCTTGTGATTAACAGTAATAATTGATAGGTCAAATTCTCCTATGGTAAATACAGTTAAAATTTTAGTTGGTAGGGACTGTATTTAAATACATTTCTGGCATAACAGAAGAATGGTTAGTTTCTATTTGCAGTGAGTTTCTATTATCTAATTTTAGTACAGAGATAAAATTTATTCTTGTTCATTCTTACATCCTGGAAATGAAGGTACTAGCTTCTCCCATTTAGTAATATCCTTACTTTTTAGAAACTCATAATATAGAATTAATAAGGTTATTTTCTACTCCTTCATAGTGTTATTTGATTGAAAAGTTAGAATTGGTTCATTCATAAATGCTTTGTTTTGTAAAAAATACCTCTTCAATAAGAATCTATCCTCAAAATCTATATTTTTTAACTTTGAAAGATGAATACATTAAAGTGAAATTGTTTCTTATGCTGTGGTCATATCTGTTTTCTGTATTCACCATTTCTTTACTATATAAGCTGAGGAAGAGGGAGTGTGAAATTTGTAGTATGTTGTTTTTAAAAATGTCTCCATCCAGCAAATTTGCCTTTTTGTTTAGGCAAATTCCGAAAGTACTATAATTTTAATTCTTTAAGTACCCAATAATTTAAATTACTAGTGATTTAGAAATATAGTGACTAGTATAAAGAAACTAATTTTGTATTTAAAAAGGAATTGTTTTACTTCATTAATGTGTCTTATAGCTAAGCAATTTTAATCTCTTCAAGATAGTAATCTCTTACATATTTGGATAATCTAAAGTCTACCAAGGTAGCCCTTCTGTAGCTCTGAGGTGTTCAAGTTGTGGCTGACTGCAGTTTTGGGAGGATGAGATGGAGGTTTGGAGGGACTGAAATCTCTTCCCATTCTGCAGGTTACTCCCAGTCTACTGTACTCCCAAGCCTGCCTTCAATAACTCACCTGTATCTAGGCTTTTTTCCAATACAGCTAGGTCACACACATTGCATTTAAAGAACTATCCTGCTGATGTTATATATCTGACAGATATTTAAAGGTAGAAGTCTATGCTTTTGCTCTTGTTAACCCTTCAGAGGCTAAGTCAGGTCGGGCAGTAGTCATGTTAGGATATTTACCTTATCTTCAAGCTCAGATAATTGTCTTTAGCCACAGTGTTAAGTGACTCACGTTTTCCTGCCTACACTGGGGTGTGTGTGACCTGGTATTAATTCCTACCCAAGCTGGAAATTTATAAAAGGCTGGGGAAGGAGTTGACTCACTTTTTGATCCACCAACTTTTGTGTGTGCTATACTGACTGCATGACCAGTTTTGACCCATTCTCTTTGCCTCACACTTCAGCTTTTGCTTTGGCCTGTTTTTCTGGCTTTAAATTACAAATTCTTCTTTACTTTTGATAGCTCTTTATTTTTGTCTGCTTGACTTATAAATTAATTTGAATAGATTTAGCTTTTTTAGATTAAGTGATATTTGCTTATGGGTTTAAAAAATAAGGTAATACAAATAGATATACAAAATTTTTTTTCAGGCAACCACTAACCCTTTCATATATACAACCATACTTCCCTAATTTTTTCCTAATACAAATGGTGGAAGAGTCTGCTAACTGTTACGCATATGCATATTTGCTTTATTAACAGTACAGTCCACTGTTATTTGACATCTGTAGATGTCTCTCTCTCTTTTTATTTTTTAAGAAAACTGCCTGTTTTGCCCTGACTTGCAGGTTCTACCCTGAAATTCCTGACAGGTGGGTGACTTGAGACGTCGTTTGCTCCGAATTCTTGACTTCTGGTACTGCCTTTCTGCCTTCCTTTTGCTGGAGCCTTGCCTTGGCTGTGGTAGTCCTTCTAGATCACTTCTCTGATTCACTGTCTTCAAATTTCCCTTTTTTTTATTAACACTTTTATTTTAGCTTCCTTCCTTCCTGATGTTTCTTTTCAAATGGAAACAAAATTTTAAATAATAAAAAGTATGCTTTCATGAGACATTATTAAAATGGATTTAATTGAGCTTAATATCCTTTCTTAGTCTTGGTAGAGGCAAAGGAGCTATGGATTGTCCTAAGGTTAGAGAAACAGAAAGATGGGGGGGGAGAGGATAATCGTTTTTTCTGGTATTTAAAATTGGTCTTTAATATGAAGTTGACATTTAAAAAATTCTTGAAATATAATAGTAAAAAGAGATAATATATAATAGTATAGAAAAAAGATTATGCCTGTAGAATACACAACTGTGTGCAAGGAACATCTTTTTTGAATTTTAAGGAGGAATAAATTATAGTGAAAATGAGAATTAGGTTTGTGTGATGTTTGCTGTTGTCATCATTTTCCTAAATTTAGGTTTGGTCATTTAACTTCTCAGAAATTTTTTGTTTGTTTGTTTATACTGCTTAAAACAACATTAATGTCAGTTAATATAAGCTGTAACTGGGTCCTGATCCTTCAGTCTTGACTGTATTAAAGACAGGATAGAATTATGATTTATCAGAGATACATAAAGGAGTGCCATTTTTTTGGTGGTTATGTAACAGTTCTAGGACATTTAATTTTATATATTTAATTTTTCATTGCTTTTAGGAAAGACAGGAGGGGGGAGCTAGAGTGACAGAAAGAGAGAGAGGGAGAGAAAGACAAAGAAAGAAACATCACAGTGACAGAGAAACATCAGTTGGTTGCCTCTTACAGGTTCCTTGATTAGGGGTTGAACCTGCAACTTAGGTATGTGCCCCGACCAGGAAGTGAGCCTGCAATCTTTTTATGTATGGGATGATGCCCCGACCAACTGAGCCACACCAACCAAGGCAAAATCTAGCTATTTTAAAGACTAGACACTTTTGGTAAATAAGGAAAATGTAAATTTACTTGTTTGATTTATCAGTGATTTAATTAATCTTCAAAGCATGTTATTTGGGGCTATATATTGTTAGAAGAATGGCCATTTTTATTAGTCTGGGAATTTCTCAAGGGCACAGATTGTACACTTCATATCTCCAGTGAATAAGAGTACCTGGTGTTTAATAGGTGTTCAATAAATACTTGTTAAACCAAACTAAAACATTTATGGAGTAGCCACTAAAATAATTTTATTTTACTTATAAATTTCTTGTAGTATGTGGCATTGTTCCATGATTAGTTTGGTGTGTGTGCGTGTGTGTGTGTGTGTGTTTTAATCAACCCCTTTAGGTGGTGGTTTTAAGATAACAATTTTAATTTTCTTAAGTTTTCCTACTTTTTATGTTTAAGTGCTTATGTTAAGGGATGATTAGTTAGCAATTTCTTTCATACTTGTCTTACAACTCAGGAGATTTGACAGGAGTTACAGATTGTCTTGCAATGTTGGGGTGATGATTGCGAACATGGCTCATGTGTGAGTCAACAGCAAAGCAAGCAGTATACATTTTAAATGGTGACTGCCATGACTTAAAATGGTCATTGACCAACAAATCAGTATATTAAGAAAAAAAATGAAAGCTTATCTTTATCACAGAAGAGCCTAAATTAATATTATGTCATGTGAAGTGACTCTTAACCAACCTAATGTAAAACTTTTTCTTTTGGAAAAAATCCTTTAAATATGTTTGTCAGTATATACAATGTATTTGGCATTAAGGAATAGCAAAAGGTAAACCCTTGTGCTATTTAATATGAATAGATATGAAATTCATATGAAATTTATCTAGTTTTTTTAAAAAGATTTTATTTATTTATGTTTAGAAGGGAAGGGAAGGAGAGAAGGAGAGAATATCAATGTGTGGTTGCCTCTTCTGTGTCCACTGCGGGGAACTGGCCTGCAACCCAGGCATGTGCCCTGACCGGGAATCGAACCGCGATCCTTTGGTCCACAGGCCCGCACTCAATCCACTGAGCTACACCAGCCAGGGCAAATTTATCTAGTTTTTATTACACATCTATTTTGTAAGAATCTGAAATATCCACTAGTTAATTTCTAGGCATCAAAAACCTTGGAGGGCTGTTTTTTTGAAAAATACTAATTGATGATCTGTATAAGTAGCGACCGCTAACATAATTTAAGGTACAAAAGAGAGAGGAAAAGGAATAATTAGGAGCAAGGCAGCCTCCCTTTCTCTTTCCCCAAGTCAAGGATTGTGGAAGAACTTTATGTTGCTGTCAAAATGACCACGTCTGTTGTGTCAGGTGATAGGAAGTTTTAACTATTGATAGAGGCACAGTTGGTTGACTGTATCTAATTGTTAGCAAAGCAATTAGGAAATGGTAACTGATTAGAATAAAGGTATAAAGAAAAAACCCCAAACCTTAAATGGCTACTGAAACTAACTTTGGGAAAATTTTTATTGTCTGCATTCATAGAATTAAAAAATACAACTATTTTTCTCATTGGTAAAATGTGGAGTTAGAAAATCTTTGAGGTCTCTTTTTTGATTTGCCCATGAACACTACATAAGCTAGAAAAATCTTGTTTTTATAGAGAAAGTTTTTTTTTTAACACATAGAGAAAGCTCTTTAATACATCATTAAAAAAAATGTTAATCAGGCATGGTCCTGAGGGCTGGAAATAAAATGGTGAAATGGTGAGCATTAAGGATATCTTATCTATCCTTTTAGAACTTCCAGGTTAATGGGGATACAGAAAAGTAATTAATTACAAGATAGTGGGATAATATAGTGTAGAAGTATAGGGTGTTATAGGAATATAGGTGAAGAATTTTAACAAAAAAACCCAGGAGGGGTCAGAGAGGTCCCCTGGAGAATGTGATCTATAACCTGAGATCGGAAGGATTACTGCAGGTGAGCCAGACCAGGGAATAGGGAGAATGTTGCAAGAAGAGAGAAAAAAACTTAGGTGAAAGCCTGAAAAGTGTGGTAGAGAATTTGGTGAGTCTGTGGACCTGAAAGACACTTGGATACCTGGATCAACACAGCTGTTTTTATTGTGTGTGTATTTGTATGTGTGTGTAGGTGGGGTGTGGGTAGGGGAGCTTTGTGATTGATTAGTCAAGTTGAGAGCCAAATACCTATTTTTGGATGCTTATTGGGAACTCTACTGAATATAACTCTAACTAGGAATATATAAGAAATTGATACTGTGTCTTTTTTAATGGTTGATTGGGAGAACCTGGTAGACAAAATTATGTGTCTGATTTAGGGATGCAGTTTTATATTTTTATGAGTAACTTTAAAAAAATGTATAACCTTATTCTAACTGCTTATCTAACTCTTCAGTTGAGTTCTTAAACTAGTTCAGGTGTTATTTTCTTTGTCTGTCTTTAGTCCTTATTGACTCTTTAAAGGCAGAGTTGAATCTTTAGGTGTTGCAGGTTTAATTTAGAATTAAAGTGTGTAAAAATTTGCTATTTTCTTCCTACTAGTATACTTCCACTCAGCTGTACTTCCTCAGAACTCTTTAGATCAGTTAGAGAGGTTTATCTAAATATTTTTTTATTAATCTACCTCTCATAGTTTGTCATTCACTTAGGAGTTTATAACTCTGAACTCTAAATACAGCAGCATGTGTGTGAAATGGACTACACACATATATATGTCTGTATGTATGTATGTAGTTTATATGTGAATATACTTTTTTTATAAAGAATAATTAATACCCAAGCTATCTTCGGAATCTTTTTAAATTTATGTTTTATGAATACGTTTGGTTTGTTCATTTTAATAGATGGATATATCAAAATGCAAAGATTATACAGCTCTTTAAGGTCACACAACTATCAGAATCGGAATCTCTTAAGAAATAGTAAAGTTCCGATAACCTGGTAGTCTTTTTGCAGTAGAATTTTAAAGGTTGGTCTGTTTTCAAAATAAGATTAAATTACAAAGTGATGTAATTTAAAATTAAATTAAAATAAAAATTAAAATTTCATAAAAATTAAATATGAGCAGATTATTAAATATGGAATCAGAAGTATTTAACTTTTATGGATCCTTCAGTATTAATTATATTAGTAAAATAGTATTACTTTTCAGTAGTTCCAGAGCTTAAGTAGTCAAATGCTTGTTGAATGACAGAACACTTTACAGCTAGATAGTCTTAAAGGTTTTTTTTTTTTCAGGATACTTGTTTTAATTTAAATCAATATTATCATGTTCTTTTATTTGAGAAAATTCATTAATTAGTAAAGCATTGCTGGTCAGTTTTGTCAATTTACCTGTGGCAAAGACCTGTAGGAAGTAGTGACAAAAGACCTTCCATTTGTGTTTTATTCCTGGTGGGTGTTCTTATTTTAAAGATCAGATGCTTATTGCCATTTATTTTTTTTCTCTGCCTTTGATCTTTTGTCACAGTGTTTAGATTTCCTAGATCACTGGAATTTCTTCAACAGAAATTTATTGAGCACTATTAGAGCTGAACATTTATAGTTATAAATAAGACAGACTTGGCTGCTTTGGAGTTTTTAATCCTAGTGGAGAAGACAGGCTTTAAACTAGTAATTATGTCAATATTTAATTAATTGCATTTGAGGTAAGTTTTTGAGGAAGAAAGGTTTTGAGTAAATTTATAGTAGTAGTATCAAGAGACCTAAGCAAAATTCAAAATTATGGACAAGATTCACTGTCACAGTAAATGGCCATAATCCTATGTTGGCCCAGAACCTGAAGTAATTTGATCTAAACTTAAAAATAAAAGTCCCAGTCTGGTGACATAATTTTGAATTTCTTTGAGGAATCAGGGGAAATGTGTTATAAAATTCTTATGTTCACTTTTTAATGTAGAAGCGAGCTGGAAGAACCAGGCAGAATCTTTGGCAGGGAGTGGGAGGGGATGGAGACGTTTAATTTTTTCAGTTCCACTGCACATCTGTAGAATCAGAATCTCTAGAGGGATCACATACACCTTTATTCCTAGGTCTTTGTTATGATCAAACATGTTGAGGTCAGTGTTGGGATGTCCCAAGACTTGATTGGCTACTGGATTAGGACAGAAACACCAGTTTTAGCTTCCTAATATCCAAATGATAGAAGGATTTTTGCTTAGAACATAGATTGTAACTTTGTTATGGATAATACACTGTGGTAGTGACAGAAATGCCTATCTGTTTTGTTTTTAAAGAGTAAAACTGCACTTTTGGATTTTCAACAGTGTTGTTCAGTTTAAAAGTCCATATTAAAGTTACTTTTGTGTTAAGTTTTCTTTTTTTTTTCCCTCTCAGGAACGAAACAGCTTAAACATATTTTATTAAAAGATGTGGACACCATTTTTGAATGTAAATTATGCCGAAGTCTCTTCAGAGGATTACCAAATTTAATTACCCACAAAAAATTTTACTGCCCACCAAGTCTCCAGATGGATGACAGTAAGTTTTAATCCAAGTATTCAGTTATGCATTTTATGTTAAGTATTCTTATATTACAACCGTATGTGTATGTTAAGTTATGGATATCTAATTATAGATAACTTAATGATAGAGAGTAAAATTAAATACTCAATGTTATATTCAATTTATTTGTTTATTTTTTTGTTTCAAAAATATTTTATTTATTTTTAGCTCTGGCTGGTGTGGTTCAGTGGATTGAGCGCTGGACTGTGAAGCAGTTGGTCACTGGTTCAATTCCCAGTCAGGGCACATGCCTGGGTTGTGGGCCAGGTTCCCCGGTGCAGGGAGCACAAGAAGCAACCGCACATTGATGTTTCTCTCCCTCTCTTTCTCCCTCCCTTCCCCTGTCTCTAAAAATAAATAATGATTTTATTTAGAGAGAGGGGAAGGGAGGGAGAAAGAGAGGGAAACATTGATATACAAGAGAGACACTGATTGGTTGCCTGTTGCACGCCCACAACTGTGGACCAGGCATGTGCCCTGACTGTGATTTGAACCAGTGAGTGACCTTTTGGTTTGTGGGTTGAAAACCTAGTCCACTGGGCCATGCTAGTCAGGGCTATATTCATTTTTTTAGATATGTACTTTCATACCTGTGTTTTTTACTTGGATTTTCCTCAAGATATATAAGGGGCTGGAAGATATATAAGGGGCTAGATTTATGAGTATTTATTTGTATTAAAATATTGAATATTGTTTTTGAATGTTCATATGGGTCATATACTTTATATTCAGGATTTTTGTAAGTTAAAATATTAATTCTTGAAGGGGGCTATTGGTATTTTTCCTTTTTACTTCTTTAACAACTTGTTACCGGAGATGACTGATTGTTTACTTAGATTACTCTTGAGTAAATGAGTTGATTTCTTGGGACTGGTAGAGAGCATTAAATATTTATTAATCTTTCTAGTGTTTTCTGAGTCTTGATTTGAAGGTCAATTTGTTTTCAGTGAAATTTCTTTAGTCATTTTATCAGAAGTTAGATTGTACTGTGGGTTAACTTGAGATCTGAACTAGCTTTAGGTGATGAAGGCAGATAGTAGGCTCAGTCTTTGTGGAACAATTTGTTTGTTGAATTCAGTGTATTGCCTGTGTATGATTAAGTTGCAGTATATATAATGGTGTTATTTTCTTCCTTTAAAGAACTAATGTAAATTCCTTGAAATATTTTAATAAATAATAACTTTTATTTTTTTTAGATTTAACTCTTTGTGGACTTAAAAAATATAGACTTTATTCTACTAGTCTGATACTATTTTGCATTGTGGATTTTGTGCATTTTTTTTCAACTTAACCTTTTTGGGATGGGAATAAAATGCAAACTTCAAGTATTAGCCTGAAGCTGATTTAAGGCGTGTGATAGGACATACATGAATTTGTTTGGATACTGCTGTTAGGTCTACTATACTTTTTTTTATCATTGGGATGTAATGAAAAGGCAGTCCATAAGGATTAGTTTTTTTTTAAAAAATCCTTACCTGAGGATATTTCCATTGATTTTAGGGGGAGGGAGGAGAGGGAGAGGAGAGAGAGAGAAAGAAACACCAATGTGAGAAAGATCAATTGGTGTCCTCCCATAGGCGTTCCAATTGGGTATCGAACCCACAACCTAGGTATGTTCCCTAACTGGGAATTGAACCTGCAACCTTCTGGTGTATGGATGACGTCCTAACCAACTGAGACACCTGGTCAGAGCAATGAAGATTAGTTTTAAATCTAGCTTTTTAGTTAAAGGACCATTAGAAATTAAGTTAATTTTCAGGTAGTTATTTGTTATTTTTTAGTATAAAGTTGGCTTATAGAGGGAAATAGATAAATGGATTTGCTGGATTAATGTGCTTTCTTCTTGGCAATACTCATTCTAGAAATACTTTTGTGTAAGTGTTATCCTTATAGAAACTTCACTCATTTTAAAAAGGAAGTAGATGAGAAGAGCTATAATAAATCCTCTGTTTATTTCTAAATAGAAAATTTGATGCTGTATTTAATAAATAATAGGTAAATTTAGAGTTGTATGTGAAAACATAACTAGTATTAGAGAATTGTTACAATACAAATATTTAGTTGCCTACAGAAGGTATAATTATTATACAAGTAAATAAAAGTAGCTCTTATATTTGGAATAAATGTATAGTTTTTAATCATTTGTTTTAATAGAATTGTGTCATGTTAAGGAGATACATAAAGGGACTAAGTTTAGCAAATAGTTGTATATATCATGTCATTCATGTTTATGTTTTCCTATAAAGTTTCTTTTTTATTTTCATAAGTATGTCTTCATATAATTAGAGTAGGAAATTTATTATGGATAAGGTTATTTAATAGGAATGCTGTTATGTGTTCTTTAAAAATTATTTTTATATATAGTAAAATTCTTCAGGATATTTTATCCATCTTGGGTTATGAGAACTTAGATTTGCCTTTGGTTGCCTAAAATTTTAGAATGAAAATATGAAATATTAGTTCATTGTTAGGACACCCTTGTGCTTATGTATTTTATAGTAAGGGCACTTAGAAGTGGAGTGACTCTTCAGTTGCGTCTAGTCCTTAACATTTATGTACTAGTATTATGTTGAGGTTTTGCATTAAAGCAAATTTTAGTTTAATACTAGTTTTTATTTTCATAAAATATAGGAAAGAGATAATGCTGTTATAAAAATAAACATTAACCAGAAATATATTTTAAGATCAACATTTGTAACATATTAAAAATTAGAAAAGCTAATGTTTCATGTTAAAATGTTGGTTTTTTTCCCCTAACAGACCTTCCTGATGTAAATGATAAACAAAGCCAAGCCATAAATGATCTTCTAGAAGCCATATATCCAAGTGTGGACAAGCGAGAATATATTATTAAGCTAGAACCCATAGAAACTAATCAGAATGCAGTGTTTCAGTATATTTCAAGGACTGATAATCCTACTGAAGTCACAGAGTCAAGCAGTATTCCTGAACAAACCGAAGTTCAAATACAGGAAACTAGCACTGAACACTCTAAAACAGTTCCAGTTCCAGTTACAGAGATGGAAACTGTAGAGCCCCCTCCTGTTGAGATCATTGCAGATGAAGTTGCACCTACATCTGATGAACAACCTCAGGAATCACAAGCTGACTTAGAAACTTCTGATAATTCTGACTTTGGTCACCAGTTGATATGTTGTCTTTGTAGAAAAGAATTTAATTCCAGACGAGGTGTTCGTCGTCACATTCGAAAAGTACACAAGAAAAAGATGGAAGAACTAAAAAAGTACATTGAAACACGAAAAAATCCAAACCAATCCTCTAAAGGACGTAATAAGAATGTTCTGGTTCCATTAAGTAGGAGTTGTCCAGTGTGTTGTAAATCATTTGCTACAAAAGCGAATGTAAGGAGGCATTTTGATGAAGTTCATAGAGGACTAAGGAGGGATTCAATTACTCCTGATATAGCAACAAAGCCTGGGCAACCTTTGTTTCTGGATTCTGTTTCTCCTAAAAAATCTTTTAAGACTCGAAAACAAAAGTCGTCTTCAAAGGCTGAATACAATTTAACTGCATGCAAATGCCTCCTTTGCAAGAGGAAATATAGTTCACAAATAATGCTTAAAAGACATATGCAAATTGTCCACAAGATAACTCTTTCTGCAACAAACTCTAAAAGAGAGAAAGGCCCTAATAATACTGCCAACAGTTCAGAAATAAAAGTTAAAGTTGAACCAGCAGATTCTGTAGAATCTTCACCCCCTTCCATTACCCATTCTCCACAGAATGAATTAAAGGGAACAAATCATTCAAATGAAAAAAAGAACACACCGGCAGCACAGAAAAATAAAGTTAAACAAGACTCTGAAAGCCCTAAATCAACCAGTCCGTCTGCTGCAGGTGGCCAGCAAAAAACCAGGAAACCAAAACTTTCAGCTGGCTTTGACTTTAAGCAACTTTACTGTAAACTTTGTAAACGTCAGTTTACTTCTAAACAGAACTTGACTAAACACATTGAGTTGCACACAGATGGGAATAACATTTATGTTAAATTCTACAAGTGTCCTCTTTGCACTTACGAAACTCGTCGAAAGCGTGATGTGATACGACATATAACTGTGGTTCATAAAAAGTCATCCCGTTATCTTGGGAAAATAACAGCCAGTTTGGAGATCAGAGCTATAAAAAAGCCCATTGATTTTGTTCTAAATAAAGTGGCAAAAAGAGGCCCTTCGAGGGACGAAGCAAAACATAGCGATTCAAAACATGATGGCACTTCTAACTCTCCTAGTAAAAAGTATGAAGTAGCTGACGTTGGTATTGAAGTAAAAGTCACAAAAAACTTTTCTCTTCACAGATGCAATAAATGTGGAAAGGCATTTGCCAAAAAGACTTATCTTGAACATCATAAGAAAACTCATAAGGCAAATGCTTCCAATTCACCTGAAGGAAACAAAACCAAAGGCCGAAGTACAAGATCTAAGGCTCTTGTCTGGTGAGGAACAGTTAACAGAGTTTTGCTTTTCCCCCCCCATCGAACTAAAAAAATCATTTGACCATAATTTATAGCTGGTTCCATTTTAACACGTTTGCTTCCATATATCTCATGGCAGTGGGAGCTGCAAGAGTAATGCGCATATTGCATTTCCTCTTCAGTGACCTTTTTTCCAGTGGCTTGGGAACAAAAGTTAACTCCAGAATTTATCTTCCATAGGACAATGCAATATAGTTATAGGTAGATGGCACAGGGTCAGTTCTTTCCTCTCTGTTGTAAAATACACATTTATATTGGCTTATGTTTACAATAGACATCTTCTGTTTAACTAACTTTGCACAGGTTTAATTTGATTCAGTGACTTAGTCTACTAATTGATGCATTGTAGGAAAATTAAATATATTAGAATGAATTTGTGAAGGCAATAATTATAGGAAAAAAGTCTTTTGAGGCATTGTAACTATTGTAAAAGTTAATCTGTGACGGCTAAATAAAGTGCTGTACTCAGAAAAAAAATCCCTAAATTAAATTTAGGATGACTAGTATTTATTATTTACATTTAATATAGTGCTTCTAGATAAAGGGGGAAGCTTGATAAGTTTGAAATTTCTTTTTCCTCCTTGGGAGTATGTACTATTTTTAAGTTTGATCTATGAAAAAAAAAATGATTACTTAGGTCCCAAATCCTCTTAAACTTAATTTCCCTTTTTGTTTAAATAAACTTTTTGATGATCATTTCAATATAGGTTAATATTATTAAATAGGAATTTTTTTGTTTTTTTCCCTTTGTGTGTGTGTATGTGTTTGTGTGGTTGTGCGTTGCAAAAAAAGTAAAATCCCTATTGGGAAGAAAGAAAAAAATTCTACTCTTTTAGAAGGTTTTGGAACAAATATAGATTTTAAAAATGCAATGTAAAATAAGGAGTAGCTCCCTATACTTGCTTTTTCAAGTCTCTATATTTTAAAAGTTTACCTTCAGTACCTGTGTCCCTGTGTTAAGGCAATTAATATATTTAATTAGTATTAAATTAGTTTTGGATTTAACTTCTAAAGCAGTAGCTTGAGTGCTGAGTAGGTTAAATGTTGTGGTTTGATTATCACACATTTTTAAAAGAAATACTTTTGTGGAAAACAAGATGAAACCATTCTTTAGAAGTCGTTTATTATTGTGTAATTTTAAAAACAAGCTTTTATTGGTAAACTCAAAAGTGTTCATTTATTCCCATTTCTCCTCAGATAACTTCAAGTGATGTACGAAAAGGTTTGGAGTTCATTTTTGTGGAAAGACTTTAAATTGGTGTTAGAACCACTAAACGTCTTCAAATGGTATTTTGAGGAAAAAAAGTTTTTATAAATATTTGACTGTAACTGCTGTTTTCTCACTAAAGTGATTATCATCTAACCACTTGTTTCAAAGGCACTGCCTTTTCCAGCACTTTTGAAGTAGCTGTGACATTACATATTGTCATCACAGTCCATCAGTTAACCACCTTTGACCTTGTGCATTTGGTCTACAGTTTCTACAGAAATGTTGCAAATTTTGTTTTCCAAACAATTTGTTGATTGAAGTGATGAACAACCTGAAGAAAATATCACCACTGGTGATTTTTAATTGACAGAGACTTTATATCTTAGTGATTTTAGTTGTGTTCCACCTTATTTGGCAGAATTTTCATCTGGATTGTACAGATACATGATTTCCTAGTGAGTGTATGTTAGGACCAAAGACAAATTAGTATCAACACATTATACATATTTAGCCTACTCAATGTTTGTCATTATTTTTACATTCATTTACTTCTAACTTGTTCTCCAGCACTTAAATATTTGAAAATTTCATTCTAAAATATATACTACAGGAAAGTTCTAGTTCATTTTCATCCATGGATCATTATATTTTTCATTTGTAAACATCTGAGGTTTTTATGAAAATTTAACATTCCCAATTTTAAAAAAAGTTTTATACAAAGCACTTTAATGATAGAAGCAAGTTAATTTGTCAGTTTTTTTAAAGACCACACATTTACTAATGTTAATATGAAGGTAGTAAGTAGCTTACTGATATTTTATGGATGCAGACAATCCATGCACAACCACTTCTTATATTAGTTTATTTCTTTAAATGTTGCTTAAAAAAAAAGGCAGATGGGGCATAAACCCTGTTTTTTTTTTCCTCCCAAGTAAAATCTTAAATGACCACTTTACATAATATTTGATTCCTACTGTAAAATTTGGAAAATAATGATTCCTTGTTCATTTTTATAATCAAGATTTTAGGAAAAACAAATACATTTATCTTTATGAAATTTTGGACAGGGTTTATGTATTGATATTTTGTACTTTTTAGGGAATATTTTATTTTTTAGTAATTTTTGTCAAATTATAATTTTAAAAGGTACAGCAGAGAATATACCATGTTTTTATAGAGGTTCACACCTGTATTTAGGAGGGACCCTGTCCATCTATATACTTTTTGTATACAATTTTAAAATGTTGAAGATCCACAAGGTCATAATAAAATATTTCTATAGCTAGAAAAACATTTACCCTTCCCAGTGCTTTGCACTAAAATATACTGTGAAAGGAAACTAGAAAGACTGTAACTGTTGCTGGAAATGTTCTATATTGAATGTACATGCTCATGTTGGAAAAATGTACTATATGTGATGGAAATAAACCAGACTTGGAGTTATTTCAGCTAAATGTGCTTCAACAAAGGTGCATTGGTTGAAACTTAAATGTTTTATTATCAAATTTAAATATATTCATTGACTATGAGCAGCTACACTTGAATTATATCTTGATAGTTTTATTTTTAAGAATTAGAGTTATAATTTCTCTTTAATTTAAAAACAGATTTACTTTTCCACATATGGAAAACTTGTACTTATAGGTCTAACTTTAATGATTAATAGTGTAATATATTTAGGGAACTAAATGTGTAGGTGGTATTTCATTTATAAACCATCTTCTTTAGTTGCACATTATTAAACCTGTATGTTTGACTTTTGCAAGGTGTTATCTTTTACGCATTCCTACACACAAGACATATTCCAAAGATAAGACTTAAGTACTTATAACCAAAAGATGAGTCCTAAAAAGCTTGCGGTAGCTGTTTGCTTACAGCCTTTCATCTGTATGTCAGACTTTTCTTTTCTGCTCTACTTGCTAAATAACTGTGTGGAAGAAAGAGAAATAGCTTGATTTTTGTGGAGGGTAGCCCAGTTGCTGGAATTTCCTTACTTTACTCATCTGTTCCCACATATCTTCTCTGTCATAGCTCTAGGTCCACAGAACAGGAATTTAGATGGTGGAATTGAGGGTTCAGGGACTATCAAAAATATTATGTGGCCCAGTGAGGAAAAACAGCACTTTTTCAGGCCTGGTTTACATTAGAAGGGCCTAGAGAGATTAGGAATATTTTATCATAGTAGCCAAAGAGATTATGGTTGGACATAGAAGTTAGAGGTTAAACTGGGACCAGTTTATTAAGGTAGAATGAACAAGTAAGAAGTGATTAAAATTCTTTGTTCTTCCTATTCCTTTCTAGTCTTCATTCTTATTTTTTAGTTTAAGTTTGATTTTTGAGCTCTGTCATTCTTGAGATTCTTGAGAAGAGATCTAGGAAATTTGTGCTGGAAGATTTTTTTTTTGCACATAAGCTATATAAACAAATATTTATAGCACTATTTGTTATCGTTGTAGGGAGTCAAAGGAACCATCAGAAACTGTTTATAATATATAAAGACCTACATCAGAAACTTTATAATATATAAAGACCTGTGGCTACAAATAATATTCACCTTTGCTGCTATTTGCTCAATTAAAGAATTATTCTATAGAATTCAACTCATCCTTCTTCCTTAATATACCTTCCTCCCCTAAGTGATGGAAGAGTAGAAACAAAAGAAATGGCTTGTGCTTCATCTTCTCAAGTTTGTATAGTATAAGTGAGAGCTGGATGAGGTATGGCCAACACTGGGCAGGTATTCACTAAGATATGCAGATGTACCTAGAATGCACAGTGACCGCTGGTTCATGTCTTGTATTTTTTCTTCTTTATTGCCTATTTCAAGAGGAAAACGTGGAAGAATACATACATATTCTTGAAGATTATATAAATTACCCATATTTAATTTTTAGCCTGATTTTGTATATATGAGCTAAGTTTTCTACTGATAGATTGCTTGTATTTTTTAAAAGTACCTTAACATTTTTTTAAGGAGTATGTGTTTGTTAAATAGTTTTGTGGTCAATAGGCTGTTCCTAGTTTTTTTTAAAGGGCATATGGATGCAGTAGCAGGAATGTTTGCTGCCTTGCTATGACTTGAGGCTGTGGTGATAGAAGAGTTTCCCAGGTGTTAAGACAACTGGGTATGCAGATAGAGAGGTGTAAGTGGATATCATTTCCTGTTGTGAAGTTGCAGAAGATCTCTTCTAATAGCATGATCACTGAAGATGAGATAGAAATGCTTGTAAACTTTGGAAATGAGGTTTTCAGGTTTTTGCAGTGGCCCTTGGAAGTATTCCAGATTCTTAGGAGTTTTAGAAGTTATTTTTCTAATGGAATCCATAGAGTACCAGGGCTATCACAACCATGGTTTTCATAGTTGATCTGAAATCAAGCTCTAGGATATGAGCAGCATAATGCTAGCTCTGCTGTTAGAATCCTACTGCGCTCTGTGCTGTTCTTTTCTGACTTTCAGAGCTAATGGAAACCTCGGGATTAAAAAGAAGTAAGGATTAACAATCTAAATTGCTATTGTTTAGTTTCTAATCATCTGGCACATGATAGAATACAAAAGAAAACATATTTCACTTAAACTCACAATTATTTTGCTTTTCTAACTTCCCAAATTTATTTCTCCTCTTATAAATAGTTTCTGCAGCCTTTTTCTCTGACCTTGTTCTAAACTCTTTCCTATTTTTTTCTTCTGGTTAACAGAGATCTTAGTACCATGGTAACTAAAACATTTTTTGAGAAGGTAAGACATTGGGAA